CCAACCCCAGCAGGTCCAGGGGTCCCCAAAGGTGTGGACGGAGTCGGCGAAGAAGGAATGAATGGCACAGAGGCAGCGTTCAGTTCATCAGCATAGTTGGGTTCTCTTGTCAGGTTCTCCAGCCAGGTTCTGTCTGGGATCTCCAGCCAGGTTCTCCAGCCAGGTTCGGTCGCCAGGTTCTGGTCAGGTTCTCTTGCCATGTTCTATCCAGGTCCTGTAGCCAGGTTCTGAAAAATCCCTACCTGGAGAAACAACCTTTCTCAGAGAGGTGACCTTGGTTAAAACACATAGCGCTAAGGGGAGCAAACATATTAAGAACAGTATGCTATATACACCAGGTCCCTTAAAACATATGCTGTGCAGATGTTTCTTTCCTGCTGTGACTGTGTCAAGCAGCAAGGATGGACCGGCTCCCGGCAACCTCACTTGGCCCCCTGCAAGAGTCTCCTATCTGGTTTCCCAGCTTCCACGCCACCCTCTTAGGCACTGTCCTCAGAGCAGTCAATGCAATCTTTCTTTTTCTTTTAAATTTTAATCTTTATTGTTGAAAGTACTACATAGGTCCTCCTTTTCCCCCATTAACCTCTTACAGTTGTCAATGCAATCTTAATAATAAAAAAAAAAGCCAATTATGTCACTGCTCTCTTTAAAATCCACCAGTGGTTTCTGATTGCACTTACACTAAAAGACAAATCCCTTTCCCCGGCCCCTGCCCGCCTCTGAGATCTTTCTTCTACCACTTTTCCCCAGCTCCCTGGACTCCAGCCATGCCGACCTTCATGCAGCCACAGGGATTATGTCAAGATCACTCCCATCTCAGGGCTTTTACCTTTGCAATTCCCTCTACCTAGGATGCGTGTGCTCCCAGATTTCCTATGGCTGGCTCTTTTCCTTCAACTCTCAGCTCAAAAGTTACCTCCTCAGAGGCATTTTCTGACACACACACACACCCTTATCCACATCACCACCTAGCATACTTCCCTGACTCACTGTGCTTCATAGCACCTGTCTGTACCAGAAATTACAACGTTTGTGAAGTTCATGTCAGGTGGTTTCTCCAACTGTAACATAAGTTCCAAGAGAACTACCTGGTTTACTCACCAGAACATCCCTGATGTATGTGTCAAGGACTGGTTGATATATGTACATCATGTTTACATACATAGGTGTGTGTGGACTATCGGTAACTTCTGAGGGCAGGATTGTGTCCTTTTCCTCTTTTTGTCTTGCACATAGTAGGCACTTAATAAATATCTGTGGAGTAATTAATGTGCATCCTATTTTCTTCCAAATATGATTAAGATGGACAGTATTTTTGTCTGATTAAAAAATATCTGTCCACCCCAGTCACTTACAACAAAATGTCCTATTTTTAAAAATCACTCTCCCAGGATTTTTGTGCTGTTCTGACCATTTTCATTGACGTACAAAGGCGGAGGCAGTTTCACAAAGCATTCTCTTACTGGCCTCCCACGTAATGCTGTTCATTCTCCTGAAAAAGACATACTGAAAACATCCCATTCTCAGGACAGGCATCCTGAAAGCTCTCAAGCTTCGCCGACAATTTTTTTAAAGCCACAAAACCAACGATTCCGTGGATTTTTGTCTAAGATAAATGAAGGAACGTTGTTGCCAGCTTGCCTCAGGGCTTCTGTTAATGCCGGTTAGAATCTGGGTTAGAATCTGGGTGTCGCAGCTGAGTTGCCCTGTTGTTTACAGCAGAAGCTGCAGACCGACTCTCCTCAAGTCATGCATTTCCATAACATAGACTGTCATAAATTGATTCCAATAGAACAGAAAAGAAAGTCTTTTCTTGAAGCTTCCCCTCCCCCAGTCTTTTATGGGAAAGTTATATTTTAATGTTCTAATTTTTTAAAGTTACTAAGCTAACGTCTCCTTAAGAAATTAAACTTTTCTCAGTTCCCAGCCTAACATACGCTTGATCTGTTCTCAACGAAATGAACTTTTGCTGGAGAAAGTGAACCCTTGTAGTTATTTGTCTCTCCTTGGCACTAGCAATACTTGTGAGCAGCCTTCTCCGGTCTCCACCATCCCTCTTGCTCTTTCTTGGTCTTTATTACCTGCTCCTCCGTTGATAGTAAATGATCAGATGTGTTCTACGTCTTTCAAGAGGAGGATGTTAATCTTTTTCCTTTAAAAAAAAATCCTCTCTTATTACAGAGATTTTTAGATGGGATTTTTATTATCCCCAAACTCCATCAACTGAATAGTTTGCCATGTAGCATGGAATATACAGATTAACATATGAGTTAACTAAACAAAAGTTACTGATAAAATAAGAAAACTTTAAGCTCTTTATTCATAAATAAAAATCCCACATAAAGAATAATATTTCTATTAAAGTACCCATATCCCTATCATTTTTGTATTTAAATTGAATGGAAGTCATCATTAAATTAAAATAATCCACAACGTAATGCTGGTAGTGCACAGGGAACTGAACATAAAAGGGAAGTACAGTAGGATAACTAACTACAATGGTATTCTTGGCTAGTATTGGAAAACTTAAGTTTAGTAAAACTTTAAAGAGGGGAAAAGGTGCATCTTTAAAGATAAACATAACTTACTAAAGTCAGTTTTAATATATTTTAATTTTATTTTACATTAAGTGCTTTGAAATGGGTAATCACATCAATTCTCTTGAAATTAATGGTTTATATAGAATCAGGTATAAAGATACAAGGGTCTCAGAAAAATGGAACTGTTCATTGTTCTGGCACATATGCAGAGACAATGCTGACTCAAAAGCAGCCAAGTGGGCAGCTGCAAATGGAAATACTAGGCAGGCATAGCTCGAAGCAGTAATTAACAGAGCAGATGCAGAGCTGACGAGGATGAATAATTGCATAGACAGTAACAGTAAAAGGAGCCGATAACAGTACTAGTTTTGTAAGAAGTTAGATAAGCTCTTTGTGCTCATGGATTTGTTAGCAAGAGCACTTCAATGCCTAATAGCACAGGAAGATCTTTTTAAATGCTTTGATTAAATTGACATGCAACTTCATATAATACTTATCAGTGAAGATATTTACAAATCAGTCAGACACAAGAAAATGTGGAGTGAACATAAAAATAATTTTGAAAGTAAAGAATGAAATAATATTCTAGGGGCATCCGGCTGTTTTTTGGAATTCATAAGTTAAATGAACTATTGAAGGAGGCCCCTTTAGTGCGCATCATTTTCTAATGTGTGTGTGATGGATGTATAAAACCTTCCCTACTCACCAGCAAGGCTCTTGAGGATAAGTTTCATGTCTTTTATGTACTCTAAAAGTACCAGTCCCAGTGACTGTGTATAAATAAATGGAGTGAGTGAAATAATACATTTTGGTTTCTTCAAAATATAATGAAAATGGACATTCTGATTAAGCATGGTTTAGTAAAAACATTCAGAGTGAGTTGTTTAAATGGATGGTGACATATGACTCGGGAAAATCTTTCAGGAGTCTTTATATTTTGAGAAACAGTGACTTTAAAAACTAGAAATATGCAGGAGTAATAGATGCATTTATAGCAAACTTGGAAAGTGGATTTCAGAGTTTTAGGTATATAAAGAAGCTAAGGGATGCATATAAGGAAGCTTGGCATGTACGATTCATTTACAGCCTCTTTCCTTAGGACATGTTTTGCAAGGATAATTGCTCTTATGATGCAAAGGATTCAGTGCTCATTACAATATCAAGTGCTTTAACCTAGAGAGTTTTCTTATATACCCATTTTATATCATTCTATTTTCTCTAAGTTATCATTGAAAATGCATACTTTCTACTGTCTACTTATTCATTAACTCACAAATAGTTTATTGAGTACCTACTGCATGTCAGGCACTATCCTAGATGCTGGAAACATT